AAAAAAAAAAAAAAAAAAAAAAAAAAAAAAAAGAAAGATAGATGAGGAGCAAAAAAAGAAGATTTGTCTTCTAAACGCCTATACATTACCTTTTTTGCGTTGTTTTGATATTGGATTGTCTCGCACTGTATTCAGGTAGTCTTTCTATAAAAATCGGAACAAAGAAAATAGAAGTTGTTTGGTTAGAATTTATATAACTTCTAAATAGATATTAAATTCCACTGCAAAAATTGACTTAACTTGTGTGCTTGTTTTTTTCATAACCAGTTTCTTTTTCCTGCAATTGCTTTTCCATCTTCTGTAAATTCATCTATGATTTAAACTCAAAAAATTCAAATGCTGGTTAATATTGATCACTGTTTGATAAAGCGGTCAAAATCGACAGGTTTCTCACTGTTACTGGATACAGCAGTAGTTCAAGGGATTTTTAAAATCTTAGACTAATCGTCATGAAACCAGATTAGGTGTTGATCATTTGCTACAGTAGGGTAAAATTTAAATGTAAAACCCCAAGGAAGGTTGCTTAAAATGCTTCAGTTTTACTGGCTAAACCAATCAACAAAACAGTGATCGCTCTGAAACCAGGTAGAGGAGATTTCAGTTGGAACGTACTTAGTAGTGTGTATAAGATGCTCCTTTGTTGACACCATCAACAAACTGTAAAAGGTTGCGGCAATGGCACTTGACGTTTGACCTGCTGAAGTGTGGAAACAAAGGATTAAAGTGCTTGTTTGGCGTGCGAAAAGCATCTGTAGCAAAAAAAAAAATGAATGAATGAATGAAAATTGAATTCTCTTAGCTCATCTGACGTTTTAATGTTTATCCTTCTTCGCTTCAATAAATCTTTACTAGTTAAACACAAAAAAAAAAAAAAGCAGAAAAAACTCTCAAAATTTTACCTTAGCAAAAAAAGAAAAACCATTTATGATTTCTTTCGTTCATTTTTGTTCCCGGTCAAGTTGAGTAAGAAGACGAGAGCTGTTAATTAAACAAATCTCTCTCTTCTTTTTTGACTTTCTTTAATCAATAAGACATGTGACAATAAAATGATAAAATCTTTAGTTCTTCTTCCAAAGATGTTTGCTTTCCTCCTCTATTGTTAGCTCGTACTTTTTGACGAATGACCAAAATTTGAAGCATAAACAACAGAAGAATGAAATTAAGGAGAAAGAAGTAGAGAGCTTTCAAAAATTTTTGAACTAAGAAAACCTTATTATAACAAACTGGAAACTTTGAGTAATCGTTTAAACAAACTGGACGATTTGAATGCTATAGAAGCTGTAGTCCTAAAAAACGGAAACTCAAAATGAATCTTTCAAAACTGGATACTACTTTTGTTTTTTGTTTTTACAAGCACATCAATAGTCATTATAAAAAACTCTTCATGAGGGGAGAGAACCTACAAAACAAAGTAATAAAAAGTCGTCGTGTGCCTCTCCAGTTTTGACAGGATTCAGATGGAGCAGTTGTAAAAACTGTGCACCAGTGAAATCTTACGGAATCTTGATAAAAATTGTTGACGAAGAAATTTTCGTTCTCGACTGACAAGTTTTTCTGGCATATTTGGCTTGAAAATAAAATTTGATTGAAAAGGAAAGTCAAAGAAAAGAAAAATTTTTTTTGTTCCAGATCCTTTTTAGTGAAAAAAATAAGAGAAATTTTTCGTTATTTCATTATGGGTTTTTACAACCAAATAATTTTCAATTGTTATTTGCAAAACAAAACAGCTTACTGCAACAATAAAGTTGTACTAAAAAGTAGTGATAAAAATATTTGTAAAAAAAAGGATAATTTTGGTTTTTTACTTAATCTCTAAAAAACGTTTTTTTCGTACATTTATTTACTTTCAAACCAATTAAATTAAAATTGATTTCAAAGTGTATTTCATTGTTAAGTGAGTGTTTGTGAAAAAAGCTGTTAACAAACAGCTTAAGGATTTTTTTGTCGTTGACCAACGAAAGTCTTTTAAAGTTACATTCCAACAAGAACAAAAAAAAGACGCTAAAGAAGTGAAATTAGACGAAAAACGATACACGACAGCGGTTTATGTATTTATTCAAGTCGGTTTTTTAAATTTTATTCATTCTGTGGTCTGACAGCAAAAAAGTAATAATAAAGAAGGCGAAGAGGAAGAGGTGACGAATATAAGTCGAGGAGGGTCAAATTCAGAAGATCGAGAAGAGAAACAATTCATCGCATTACAAGTTTCACAGATTCACTTTTTCTTGACAAAATGTGCTGTTGATTTAGCAAGAGATAATAAAGGTAATGATGTTGCTGCCACTGTTGCCAAGGATTATAATTTGTAAAACAAAAAAAAAAGAATATTAAAAATTCAGCATGGTCAGCAGATCCAAAAAACATCGTTTATACAGTTTATTGTATGACAGTTCGCAACCGGAAACAGTCGGTTTCCAGTTATATACGGTTGTACAAGCAAATTAGATTAATTATTTGCTTCTTTACCGGCGTTTTTCTTTCTTTTTCATCAATGTTTTCAGACGAAATAATTTTCCATAGTGAATGCATAGTACTTCATTGATCAAATCCAGTCAGTTGACTCAACTGTGTTAGACATTTTAGCCGAATGATATGTGATTAGTGAAGTTTGTCAGCAAAACGGATAGATATTAAAAAAGGCACAAACAAACAAACGTACATAGGAAAAGCTCCCTATCAGCGTCGCTGTTGCTGCCGTCTGCAGTTTTGATTCTAGTAGATAGTTCTTTGATTCTGAAGCAGAAAGGAAATGCTAAATGGCCATTTTAGAAACTTTGCCATCGTACTTTGACGAATATATAACCATAACAGTGGTAGTAGCAAGAAAAAAATATTTTGATGTTAGCTTTAATGAAAAAAAGATTTATTTAACTATTTATGTATCTTTGCAAAAAAAAAAAAAAAGTGTTAGAAAAATATAACAAAAAAGCCAGACGTAAAAAGCTCTAAATACAAAGGTGACCTTTATTCTTCTGACTTTTACTGCTTTGTGGAAATTTTAGAGGCGTTTTAGTCTGAAAACAATAGATGAAAGAAAATATCGAATGTCTACAAAAGAATACATTTGTACATATGAAAATTAAATTAGAAATAGTAGCAGTGGTTAAGTGAAACCGATAAAACAGAATTTAAAATCATTGTTATTTGGCATACCCTTCAAAACAAACCATTTTTATGATTATATGTAAGAGTTTTTAAGCATTAACAATTTGTTACTGTTTGTTTGCGAAACTGTTTACTCAAATGTATAAAGTTATTTTTACAGCAGATAGAGGTCTAACACAAGAAATTTTTATAACTATTTTGATTTTACTGTACAGTAGAGGTTTTTAAATAGCTAAGTGACTAAGTTTGAAAAATTCTTCTGTTAAGTTTAGGTCAAAACTGATAACTGTTCTACTTTCTTCCTTGAAATTGTAATAAATTTTTTTATAGTTGCGTTTAAGTGTGGTGTTGGAAAGGCAAAAAAAAAACTGTTTCTGTCAGCCTTCTGGTCTTTGCTACCCCGTTACCTTCACTCTCCTTACTTTTTCTAGTGAGAAAAAACAAGTTGTACAATATTGAAATAATTACTTTTTTTTACTTCTTATAACAGCTAATCTCCAATTTTCAATTTTTTTTTTTTCATTTTTAGTTCACTCTCGTTTACTTAAACTACTATTGAATAGATCTGCCATCAACAGTTGTAACCCAGAGCGTATTAAAATTTCTTTTTCCATAGAGCTGACGCCCCTTTTTCTCGCTCAATCTCCCTTTATTCACCACATCCCCTTTCAACAACAATGACTACAAAAAAATGCATTTTTAATGAGCCAAAGCTTATTGCATAACAAACGATAGAGTTTTTAAGAAATGTAAACAGATAATATACTGTGATGGGGCCGAGGAAGTTAAAGCTAAAACAACTTCGGTACAGTGGCCAACCTCTTTTGCACTCAAATACCCACAGCGGTCACTCTACTAGTCATCCATTTCACACCAGTTGAGCACCTCAGTTGTACATGGCCGCTCAGCTTCCCGGTTCAACGGTATGTTAATTTCAAGTTTATTACTATTTCATATTCAAATATTATATTATATTTCAAGTTTTTTGCTTTTTGGGTGCCATTAAATCTTTTAGTCAAAAAATACTATTTTTTTTTTTTTTTTTGGAAAGTTATAGTAACCTCTACTCATCTGGCTTTTAATTTCCTTGGTTAGTGTATTAGTGTGTGCATTTATTTATTTTTGTGCCTAAGATTACCACCGTCTATGTCAAACAACAACTATAGTCTATCTCAAAACGGTTTAAAACTGATATTTAAACAACCGAAATAGTTGGAAAATTTTAAATTAAGAACTTAATTTTTGGCACTCAACAGTTTTATTATTTACTGGTGATTTTAAATTGTTTTAATACATCCACAACCAAAAAGAATTGAGTCATTTTTTAAAAATTCTTTATTTCTTGATAATATTTTTCCACTTGCAGCAATCTTTACTGTCGTCGAATACCACATAGTAACAAAATTTTTTTAGGTTTTAATACTTCTTACAATTACGACATCAAATGCTCAGTATTTGTGTTCATCAGTAATCTGTCCGTTGGGACAAGTATGCAACGTCAATACCGGGCAATGTATTGAAATTCCGCAAGCTTATTTTGAAAGAAGTCAATGTGACGCCGTGCACTGTCCAGGCGGTAGCCATTGTGATGGTGGGAGATGTGTACCAACCGTTAAACCAGTCTACAATCAAGCACCGTGCTTGAAACTTACGTGTGCACCTGGACAAACCTGTGATCCAACTAGAAATCGATGTGTCAATTACAAACTGCGGTTTATGAAACCTTCAAGGAGACTAAAACAGCTGCATTACTATCGAAGTGCTGCTCCAACGATTGCAACCCCCATGGATATTAGCTGTTATAACATCAGTTGTCCGCTTGGATATCAATGTAACACTTTCACAAAACGCTGTATTCAGTTCCGAAGTTTAGATTCAGATCTATGTCTGCATGTAAACTGTCCAAAAGGGTATCAGTGCAATATGGCAAGCGGAATTTGCTCACTAGTACTGCCACAGAACACCGATTCATGCTATGGTGTTGAATGCCCCAGAGGAACGGCATGTGATACAGCAACCGGAAACTGTGTCATCTTCAGATTACCACACAATACTGTAGATTACTGTTTCGGTACCACCTGCCCAAACGGCGGCATTTGTGATCCCACAACTGGTCGTTGCATTCCGCCATCAACCCTAATTATGCAGGAGACTATAGCCAGAAATCCTTGTGCCAGTGTCAATTGCCCATTTGGTGTTTGCGATCCACAGACTGGACGGTGTGCACAGTACAAGTGGACACAAATTTCGCCGCCTTCAGTCATACAAAAATCACTTTGTGATGGTACAGTTTGCCCACAAGACACAGCATGTGATGATACTACTGGGAACTGCGTCCAGTATAAGACCCAAGGTTCACGTGGTCTACATAAAAAGGGCTTTTGCATCGACGTTAAATGTCCACAGGGTACTAGTTGTGATACAAATACTGGAATATGCAGGTTATTTTGCATCTCCTACTTATTCTTTATTCTTAGAAAAGCTCTATGTCAAACTGTGCTAGTTCTAAATACTCAATCAAAAGTTACTTAGATTTGAAGAGTTAAAAATGCAAAATCTAGTATATTTTTCTTTGTAAACAATAATCATAAACTTTTTTTCAAAATAATTCCTGAATTAGTTGCTAGTTTCGTCTGAGTATTCAAAAGAAGTATCTTAATTTTAGCTATAAATATTCGGAAGTATAATTAAGCGAAAATTTTTTTCTATAGTTTGTATTGTTTGACAAGTCAAAAAGAACTGACTAAAACAAATAGCACGAAATGCGAAAAAAAAACTATCTAAAAATTTTTAATAATATTTTGATGTCAAAAAATAGTTTTTTTGTAACGACTGTCTTAATTTTTCTGTTTCTGTCTTTAGACAATTCCGCCCAGTTCAAGCAAAAATTTATACTGACCTATGCGCCTATGTTCAATGTCCAAATGGTTATCAATGTGATCCAAAATCTGGTGGGTTAAAACAATCTTTGAGGTTGAAAATATTCTTTCTTAAAAGAAAATTTTTGAAACATTGATGACTGCCACTAAAAGCTTTTTCTGCTTGTTTACTTTAATTAGAAAGCAAAGAAAAACTTTTATTTGCCACCCTTGCCATTTTGTCGTTAAACAACGCTCAGTAAACCAATTTAAAGCTAACCGCTTATAACTTTAACTGTATATAGCAGAAGTTTATAGAGACCCATGCGCCTATGTATGTATATCTTCACTTTAATAAACTATTTTAAATAATTTTTTTCAGTTAACAGTGAGGTTTCAAACAGAATTTTGCTCAAAACACAGTAAATGTACATAGTTTTAATTTGCACTCAAACTGAACCTATTTGGTGCAATAAGCAGTTTGTGCGATATTCACATAAAGAAAAATATATTTATAGAACGGTGTAAAGTGCTTTTGTCAAATTATTGAATGAACTGCTAACAAATATTTAGCTCTTTATATTGTTATATCGGTTTAGAGAAAATTCGCTTTACGACTTGACAAAATTTTTGACCAGCTAGAGCCATTATAAGAAAATTATTTTAGCTAAGCATGAAGTTAGCTTTAATTGTAATCTGAACATATTGTAGGTGTTTGTACACACAATCGACCAATACGTCGCATGCTGGCTGAACCGGTGTCATGCCCCTTACATAGTCATTATGTACAATGCAGTTCGTCTTGTCCATACACGTGCAATGATGTTCGTCGACCATGTTCGAGTCCATGTATCAGCACGTGTCAATGCGATGATACCTATGTTCAAGTCAGCATCACCAATGTTACCTGTGTGCCGGCAGAAGAATGTAAAATTTATGGTCGTGACTGTAAGCTTTTATACTCTGATTTTATTTGTTTATTTTTGCTGTTTGTTAGGGTTTTTTGTTCCTATTATTTCTTCTTCTTTTTTGACAGTACAGATTGATAGAAAAATAGCAGGCAAAAAGAAAGATATTTGGTAGTGCCTAATTTGTGATGAAGCAAGCTGAGGTTCAAAATTTCAGTATGCACAACATTGAAGTGTCCAGACAGTATGGTATGTGTTGACGGTTACTGCAATCCAGTGAACTGCCCGCATTTAACAAAACCTGATCTTCCACGCGGATGTGCCTACGATTTGAATCGGGATGAGCGCAACTGCTTGGTGTTTGATGTTGTTTGTTGATGATAGTTAACCGAGTAGGTTGAATTCTTTGTCATGTCTGAATGTCTACTTAAAGACGAAGTCCTTGTTTTTACAAAGTTTTTTTATTTGTTACATATTGTTTTTGTTTAGTTCACTTTGTTTTTACGGTAAGGAATTTAAAAAGCATATTAGTTTGCTTTCTAAAACACTATGAACTATCGTTTGCGATATTATGTGTCTAAATCTGTAAGTCAATCTGTTTCAACCTCATTGTTAGGTAATCTACTGATCTGCTATTGTTTGTTCTCTCTGGTACCACAAATACATTTAAACTGTTACTTCTTCTGACATTGCTTTTGTCATCTTAGTTCTAGACATTTCTGCTGAATCTCTTGTATTAATAAACTCTAAAAAAAAAAAAAGAAAAGAAAAAAAGAGCAAAAAACATCTTTTATATGTATACATGTATTTTTGCTTGTTTTGTTATTTGTTATTTTCTTGTGTGTTAACGTTCAAATTAGAAAAATGAATTTTTGTATTCAGTGTGTTTGAAAACGGAAGTTAACTTCTGTTTTTTTCTTCTTCTTTGATATTTTATGTTTTAATCAGTTATACTGTTTTTATTG